TGAAACAGGTTTACTCACAACAAAGTGAGAATATACCAAAGGCAATGCACACACCCTTACTGTCAGCTACAGAGCTCACAGCTCGTTAACTGCTGAACAGATTTTATAATCCTTAAAAATCACTGTGGATTATAAATGCTTTTCTTTTCCTAAAGCTGCAAGTGACCTACAGAACACCAGCCACTCTGAGTTTCCTAAAAATATCTCCAACACAAGCTGGGCAGCAGAGATTATATTACAGGGCTTCTTCCAAGGTCACTTGCAAGATCTATGCTTGCAGTGGCTTTAGCACCTCTGTTTCAGTTTTGTCCCTGGCAGCACTGGGAGTGCATTCTGCAAAAGATCATCAGCATCCATGCATGCCTGTCAGCTCCAAGTGGCAACAAATTATATTCTCAGAGAAAGGTACTGTATTCTTTTTCTTACCTCTGATCAGCATCCTGAAGGGGAGGGAGACAGTCTTTGCAACAGAACTGACTTCTTTGTTCATAGAGTGCTTTTGTCAAACACAATGCATTCCACTTCTTTCAGGCTCCCTATCTCAATACTAGTACTACCATTTTATGAAAAGGCCACAAAATTAGTACACACTAGATGCAGTCTCTTCTCTGATGAAGGATGAGGAAAACCAATAAATACATATTCTTGAAGGAAACCAAAGAACAGAGTGACAAAATACAAACCTCCACCTTCCCAATAAAGAACTGAGCACACCAGAGTGTGATAGAGAAATGCTGAAGGAAAAAAAAGGAATTCTTTAGGAAAGCAAATAATGTATTTATCAATTATCTTTATTAATTTTACATAAAACAGTCATGCACAGCACTTACCGAAGGCTACAGCTACAATGCAGACTTATTTTACCTGCCTCTTGAAGAAATCCAATGCAGATTTACCACTGTAGACTTGTCTCAATTTCATCTCATCAAAGCTCCTCCAGTAACTATGATCTGCCTTCCTTTTTTACGGACAGAGCAGATCATGTCAGCTGTAATCAGTTATATTTAAATGTTTTTATCTTGTGAGGTAGGAGGTTTGTGTGCAAAGAAATTCAACTAAACCAGAGATTTCTCTTCCTAACTCTTGCATCATTGCAGCATCTGACTGGTAACATCTCCTGCTATAGAGGTAACTGCACCCTTACCACATTTTCTAAAATACAATTAACATATCTTAATTTTATAAAGGCATTGCCCTAGACCAAAATCTCATTTTAAACTTGATATACTCATATCTGAAAGGGGACACGAGAAACGGTTCATAAAACCCACACCTCCCTCTTCCATGAAGGTGGTAAGTATTCAGAAGAAAGTTATTCCAAAGGGACATAAACATAGGTCCAAGTCATCCCCGTCACCTTGGCATGAAACAGATTGCTGTGAATTCATTAAACAGCCAGGCGCATGTGATGATCACACTACCACAGATAAAGAGTACAAGATTTATGTTTCAAGGGTGCCGATGGCAAAAGGGTAAACCATACTGTTGAAACCAGAAGTAAAGAACTTCTAATTACTAATAACATTTGCAATACTGCAGGGCCATGGAGCTTGGAATAATTACAGACAACTCAGTCAACTGCATGCCAGACATCATCAACATGTATTTTCCCCAAATTTTAATGAAAGAAGACTTTTTAAAAAAATGTAGCACATTATGTGAGTGCAGAGAGTAAGGATGTAACATTGCAAGAGTCCCAGGGCAGTAAATCCATCCTACCTGCACTGTATCACATGTATTTGTTGTATTATGCACACGACACATATACTAAATATAGGATGCTAGAAGTACAAGAAAGCTTCCAGAAACACTGTGGCCATTTCTCCAGACCCTTCTGTGAATCACTTGTGTTACTGCATGCACTCTGTAATGTTAACTGTCGTTTGATAAGAAGCTTGCTACCTCTTCTGATTATAATAATTGATTTTTCTGAAAGAAAATGAGACCTTGAAAAGCAATGGAAAAATGTTGAATATAATTTCCTTTACCATACTGATTTATTACCAGGCTCACATTCTACAGCTTTGTGAAGATCGAGTGAGGATCTCCAATTTCATAGTGGAAAACAGCAACTCCCATTCTAGCTGATAGCATCTAGCTTTTATTTTAAATGAGACTGGACTATCCAAAACAGCTCATCCACTCTGTCATAAAACTTCCTAATAAATTTTACTATCTATAAAATGTTGATTAGTTGTGCAGCATTCCACAATAAAATCCCACAAACCCAAATTGACTGCACCCTGCTGATTTACATAGTGCTTAGAGAAAAAAGAGCCCAATATACAACTTCATGCTTTATTGTTGCATTATTGCCACATTGACAATTACAGAAAATTTATTTTGCAATCATTTCAAAGTAACAGCTGAACACTTCCTGTGCCTCTGTGTTATTGTAATGTATTTTAAAAGTATCAGTAACCATCAGTAGGCAATCCAGATCACCAGTTATAATTATCTTCAGCAAGGCAATGCTTTGGTAAGGACAACTAAGTGTAAACATGGATACCTCCCAACAATACATACTATGCTTTCATACATAGATATTTCCTAACCATATAGGAGGAATTCCTGCATTCTAAAAGCCACTAAAGCTAAAGCTATCTTCAGAGTCATACTCCATTGTACAAACTTAGATATCCATCTAAGTAATCAAAGACAAAATTCAGGTATTGTCTATATCCGCTGTATCTATTGCATTAACAACCAGAAGCAGCAGTTTGTAATTCAAAAAGCATCTGTGTCCCTAACTTGCAGTATCAGAATGAAAATGTGGTGTTGCTTTCTGAGACATTTCTACCAGCTCTTACTGGACCCCGAGTAGGGGCACCCAGCCCCACCTAATTGTATGTTACTACACCGAGGTAAGTTTTGTTTTCCAATGCAGTCAACAGAGTTGAGAACAAAACAGCTCATCTTGAAAGACACTTCCATTTGGTCAAAGATGTCACATCTGAACTCTACCCACTGTCTTGACTACATCACCATTGACTACAACTGGAGTCCAGACCCTGCTTCAAATGTAGGCACAAGGAAAGCAGAACCCTATCCAGCTCACTTGCAAGCCAGCAGCTACCAGTACCAAGCAACTGTGATGATCTGCTCCAGTGCTGACGCTAACAGCCTCTGGCTGCACCATCAACAAGATGCCACCATGTTCTGTCCTGAATCTGCAAACTACCTCGTGTAGATATTCCATGAGGACCAACAATGTTATCCTTAGGAATGAATTGCTTGTGCAGGAATCACTTGTACACTCATGAGTGGCTATGAACAAAGCCTCAGATGTACTGACACCAAAACCAGAGAGAATATTTTAAAAATCATGCATATTCTAACACAGGATAATTCTTAGAAATAATGCTCATTCCTTAAGGCAAATACAGTTATCTAATTCAATTGAAAATAAGGACTGCACACACAGATTGTACATCCTTCCTTGGGTGTAGGATAAATATATCCACACAACATATCCTTTGCAAAATATTGTTTCTATTTGAAGCCTATGAAGAGATGGAAATGCCAGGTCCCTCTCACCCACATGAGGTGAGTCATTCCACTCACAAAATGGGCCCTATTTCATTAGATTTTGTGGTTGTTGTTTTAAATCAGCTACTCAGGGTATAATTATTTAATCAGCAAAATTTTTTAAAAATAGTGTTTTTTAAATTCTCATCACTGGTTTTCTATACTATGTGATTTTAAACATAAATGAACCAGCAAGGCCCCAAGTAACTCCAAACTTTCACTGATTTCCCAGGTGAATGTCTGCAGCACTAGCTCCAGTATCCATTTTTTTGACATTATTAGAAATCTGATAAACCTAGAGGGTAATAAAGGCTGTACTGTGTTTATAGGCAGTTAAAACCAGAAGTACATTTCAAAAGTGTAGGTGCAATGTTCAAAAATTAATTTCCTGGGTTTTTCAAAGATGAGTTGCAGAAGGAAAATGATAGAGCTAAGTGATTTTGAACCGTGCAATAAAAAAAATCTAATTATGGCCAAAACTAATCTGATTGCTTTATTTGAAAAGTAACTCTCTTATTCTCTCGTACCACTACTGTCCTTATTCTCAGTAAGACAACTAGGAAAAAATATGTAGTGCAACAGAAGTTGGGTCATAAAGTTAAACACATTTACTAATTTACAGTGATCTCAAACTCTAAGTTAAAAAAGAAAACTGATTTTTTGACAGTTTATTTTAAGTTCAATTCTGGATGGTCCTGAGCTCCTTCAGCTTGTTATTGGAATTGAGAATTCATCTTCTCATAAAAATACAGTCCCTAGTGAGACCCATGAGGCCACAGATCAGTTGCGTACAGCCGCAGTGTTCCTGTAACTCTGATTTCTTTCCCCCTCTCCAGACCCACAGACCTCCAAATGCAGAACTTCAGCAAGACTGTGTGAGTGCAAAGGGGTGTAAAGAATATTCAGCTGGATTTCTGTCCCCTTGAGAATGTTTTGGGGGTCCTTTTATCATCTCACTAGTTGAAATCAGAGGGCACAGCCACTGGGGTGTAACACTGTAGGATACTGAAGATTGCAAGATTTCTATGTAATCAGGACAATCACCGACTTCTGTCTCAACACACAGAACAAATTCCCTCCAGATGGTAGAGGTACTAGTACAAAAGGGCTATTCTTCCTTACCAGCTTAGCATTAAAAAAACACATAAAATATCTGCTATTGCGATGCCACAACTAAAAGCACAAGTTCTAAGCCCATTAATCATATTATTCATACTAAATTTTTATCTTGGCAATAAGAAAATCTTATAAAAAACCCACCCCTGATTTGCAAATACTTAACAGAGAATTTCCCATTTGGGATAACAACTGAACAATGTCTTCACTCTTATTAACCCTTGCGAATTAAAGAAATAGCATATTATTTTAGAGGATAATTCTACTCATTGGACACTGTGAATCACAAATGATTTTTGTTTTCTCTTGAAAACTTCTTCACTGACAACTTCTTCACTGAGATTTTGATGGAGAGCTCACTTGCGAGGCTGGTGGATGTGCTGTTTGACATGTTGTGGGTGAGGAAGCTTCTCCACAGAAGGATGTGGTTTCTGGTGAGCCACCTGAGCCGCAGCTGGAGGGAAGTCTTTATCACCCTGTTCAAAAACACAGGAAAAATGTAAGAAATATTAAAAGCATACTTTCCAGTTCAAACAGATGTAAGTTTTTAAAAATATGAGAAGCAGATGTTACACCGGGTTGCATGTTACTCTGATGTCCCCATGTACACATCCTATCTTGCCATTCTTTTAGCTGACATTAAAATTCCTCTTACACAAGTTTCACTTTTTCCAACTACACAATCCAACAACACAGCATCGTAAAGTGACCCAAGAAAGAAACCAAAACACCCTATTGCTGTCTGCTATGATGAACAGCTCCTTGTGCAAAGTCCCTTTCACTGGCTCTTAATGGTCAGATCTCCTTGGCATGTTTGGTTTTCACAAAGTGACAAGGAAGAGGAGACTATTTTACTAATAAAGTAAGGCAGTGTGAAAAATTACCTGCACAAGAAAACCCACTGTAGGAGCACCAGTTCTGTAGGAAGAAAGGCAGGACTTAAACCTACTTTTGACTCAAATCTTAGGGGTGGTTGGCTTTTAAAGTTTAACGTGCTTTTCTAACCAGGTCTGCTAGTGTTACCACGCAGGTGCTGCTGTTGGGCAGGCCCAGTTCAGGTGAACCCTTATGCCACCTATTTAGAACTGTCATTTCTTGGGCCAGTCCCATGAGGTTTTCTAAAAGCAACGGGAAACATCTACTACTGGTGTTCAGTGACTGGAGGAGGAGAATAGCACCACAACTTCCCTTTTTAGAAACTGGGACAAATGTGTCACAAGCCAGAAACTCCCTGCATTCCACTGGATAATGGGGTGACAATCTTACTCAGAAGTCTTTTGTACAAAGCTGACATCTCAGATGGCCTGTTTCACACTTGACTCCATTTCAAGCTACTCTAAATTCTTGCCTTCTGTTCTGACATAATTATTTCTTTTTAAATCTTGATCAAGAGATCAACTTTTTACATTTTTTCCCCGTTTTTTTTCTCTACTCCTAGTTGTTTACAGTTTTCAAAGATCTCCTCTTCTCAGACTTAACCTTTTATACCTTCCTTCCCAATGATGCTACTGTTTGTCTTCTCCATAACTCTCTGACCCCTCACATCTTCTTGTCTCAAACAGGTGATGTGAATGCAGCTCTTCTGTGGCTGTGGGTACTGTAACAGTTGATCAGATGACAGAGCCAGTCTGTAAATTTTAGCAGGAAATGCCCATCTTAGAATGAAAGTACCGTAGAATAATTTAGGTTGGAAGGGCCCTCAGGATGTATCTAGCCGAACCTCCTGCTCAAAGAAGAGCTAGCTGTAAGATTAGACCTATTTACTCAAGGTTTTTATCCAGTCTGGTCTTGAAAACCTCTACAAGCAGAAGCTCAACAGCCTCTCCAGGCAGCCTTCTCCACTGCCTGTATGTCCTCACAGTAGAAAGGTTTAATTCTTTTTATGTCTAGTCAGGCCCTTCCATTTCAACTTGTGTCTGTTGTCTTGTTTGCCTGCCATGCACTACTCCACACATCCTGGCTCCATCTTCTTCATAAGATCCTTGTAGATGTGGGAAGGCTGCTGTTAGGTCCTCCTGAAACCATCGCTTCTCCATGTTAAACAAGGCCTGTTCCCACAGCCTCTCAGCCCCCTGACCACCTTGGTGACCCTCCAATAAACTTACTCTGGTTTATCCACAGCTTTCATATGCTGGGGTGTCCAACACCGGATGAACTATTCCATCCCTGCCCGTGGCAGGGTATTTGGAACCAGATGAGGTCTTTCCAATCCAAACCATTCGATGATTCTAAGATATGAGGTCTGAAGTGTGCTGAGCAGAGGGGGATAATCTTTTCCATTGATCTACCAGCTACTGTCCTGTTAATTAATGCACAGGCCCAGGAAATACAGCAGTGCCTGTCTGCTACTTTTGTGGGCTAGGGGAAGTGGCATCAGCTCGCTCTTTCCACCTACGTGACCTGGCACAACCACAGCACCTTACCGTAAATCACCTTACACACCCCAGTGATGTTAAGGCCGTCATGATAAAGGTACCCATCATGTAAAGCCCTTGTAAAACCCCTGTCATAACACATAAGGCATGAATTACTGATCGTACAACTAATGGCTAGTTAGTGATTTAGCTTATGGCTTTCCAGGTCCTGCTTGCTGTTAAAATCCAGGGAGTAATGCCTTGAGCCTCCAGTACCTCAAAGCACATATGGCAGCCGAAACATTATCTTCAAACATGTATCCTTATAGGCAGGAGCTGTCACTCCTCATCACAGATCAAGTATTGCAGCAGGCTTAACATACAACTGCTTTGAAAGGAAATGAATGAGGTAATATCAAGCTTAGATATGAAAAGAAGATCCAATAAACATAAAGTGCTAAAACTCAAAGTAAAACGGTGGAAGTAATTTCAATAAATAATTTCAATTTCACACAAAACCCAAAAGAGTGCTCAAAGGGACTTAGACAAATACACAAAACATAAAGCCTCTTCTCATAAAAGAGGCAGGGGAATGAAAAAATTAATTTTGCTCTGATCAGTGATAATTCTGAAAAACCTACAATAATTTTTCTGTGATTGAAAAGAATTTAATGATAATCTTACCCTAGCAATGACACCAGAGATGATCACTGTTGGTTTAGGTGGGCTGAAAAAAAATAAGAGGGATTATTTGTACAAATTATTTAGAAGGCAGAAATGAAAAGTACATCATACATGAAACGCAAAAAGTGGCATTTTTGGCAGTTGCTGAATATTTCAAATAGACAAGACAAATTTCCTCTTCAAATTATTATTGCCTTACTTACATAGTATTTACTATGGCCAAGAACAGACCTGTAGGTTTTGGCTGCTATTACTTCACATCAGTTGTGCCAGCAGTAGGTCTAGTCCAGCAATAATCTGTGCTTTACTTAAAGCTGAGAGTCTTTCTTTGTTTGCATTGGAGTCTTAACCCTCAGATTTTATATATAAGCTGCCAGCAGTACTTTAGGCTTAGTGTATTTGTATTGCAACAATGAAAACTGTAGTTGGACTAAACTTACTGCTGTGATGGAGAATAAAATAAAACTCAAGTTTATATCTGTCAATCAAATGGATTAAGATTCTGAGCCTCAGAAAAAACAACACCCAGTACTTTAAAATAATAGATTTTCAAGCAGATACTTATCTACTCTATTACACAGAAGGAGAATCATGTCTGACATAAAACAAATGTTAAAAAACATAAAGCAAAGTCTGCCCTGCTTTTTCATTTGCAGATCTCCACCCATGACAATAGGAACAGACTCTCCACAGGTAGAATTTGACTCTGAAGCTGGGTCACCACGAGCAATCAGTTTCCCTGGGCCACTGCTCTACTGAACTGACCATCTCTACACGGAGGTTAAAGTGCAGCCACATCTAACAGTTTACCCCTGTTGCCACCTGGCATTGCCACAGTGTCTAAATTATAAATTCTCAGCAACTTCACTTGTCTCCTGGGCACATAAAACCATACATCTGCATGGAGTCCACAGAAGGATCAAGACCGGGAGCTCCAGAAAATCTCTGCAATAGGGGTAACACTTCTATAAGAAAACTATGTAAAACCTGAGGCATTGCAAAGAGAAGGAAAGTGCAGAGGTAAAATTGTGCCTCCCTCTGAGCATGTCCATAACAGGATTCAGAGCAGGTGGTTCATAAACTTGGGACCATGAGAAAGGTCCCTACCCTGTGATATTACAGCTGATGAGGCTGGAACAACACAAGGCAAACACAAATCAAATTATTTATTAGAGGAAAGATACTGATTATTATGATGTGCTTTACAACTACACAGCTTGTAAAGATTTATTAATGTTATGTTATGTGAAGTTAAGGTGACAAGCAGCACAGTATTAAACCTTGTTATAATGTTCTAATAAATATTGCCTGAGTCCTGTTTAAGTCACAGTATTGCTACACACTCTGAACACTACTTATTTAATAAGGCTCATCAATCCTTCTAAAATTTTTTAAAAAGTAAGAAAGACAGAAAAACAGAGAAAGGAAGGAAACAAAGCTCTTAAATACCTCCATTTAAGAGTACCAGTGATATTTCCTGCAATAATAAAGAGTATTTTGAGAGCTGTATTAGCCTTCTATCTTATTTTCTGTTAGTATAAACTAAAAACAAGCAAAGATCAATAGCAAAACACTTTCATTTTACCCTAATTGTACCAAGCGAATTAGTACTTTACAGTCTGCATGAGATTTCCTGGATGCTGAGTAACTAACTCAAAGAAACAACTGAGAAAACACAGATGTACTGCAGTGGCTCAGGGTTCCATTTATTAACTAACACCATGACATTATATAAGGAAATGAACAGGAAATGGGGAAAAAAAAAAAAGTGTGGCAAGTTATTCTTCAACTAGACATGGAATCTGGCTTTAGTCACACTCAGATAAACAGTTATTTGATTAATATTGTGTTATTAATAATATTGGATAGTGAGAAATTCCAATCAGGTGGATTTTTTCTTATATTCTTACCATGACCTTTCAGTGTTCACCATGCTTGGATGACGCATGAAATTCACATCAACATTTCCCAAAAAAGAGCCTGCATTTGCTGAACGTGCTACAGCTTGTCTGATCACCACCACGCTATATTATCTGCCGTGTTTCATACTTCTTGCTTTAAAACCAAGCAACATGCTCCATGGTTTGGGCCAACAGGAATCTCTGGCGGAATGGTTGCTTGAATTACAGCTTTTCATGCTGCAAATAGCAAAAAACCTGAGAAACTCTGGTCTTCTGTGTGAGTTGTAATGCTATTAATATTCAAAGGACCCAAGCTTGCAAGTGCCAAGTTCCCCGCGCACACAACAGAGCTGGATAAAGTTAGAATACGTGGTACATTTCTGTACTTATTGTTACTTAGTTGTATGTTCTTTTGTCTAAGGAACTGGGTTCCTATAAAGACGATTCTCTTATTCAGTTAAGCTAAAATCCAGTCCAAGGTCTATGTTTCAGGTTGTTCCACAGAAGTAGCTAGCACACCTTTACACAGAAGAGAAAAATCAGTAATACCATTTTCCTGGTAAAAACTGTATCCTTCAGATATAAAGCATTTATCTTGAACCCTGTGATGAAATAACATATTTAGACTTGTTTGCATGTAACTGGTTCTGTGACTGTCTTCAGTTACACTACCCTAGGAACAGGATACTAGGACTATGCCATGGGTGTGCAGTAGGCACCAAAACACCTTACACTAACTCACCTAAGGTTCATGTAGATAATTTTAGGATAGCAAAGGGCAATTCACTGACACATATTTCCCAAATGGAACATATTTGTCCCTGACTTTCACCCTTGTTTGTCCGCTCCATGGATTTTCGAATGGACTCTTGTTTTATGCTAGATTTCCAACTTTTAAATGGAAAACCTAACAGGAACACTGACATGGCTTACAGCTCAAGCGCCTCTACCCTTCACCCACAAAAATCCCAGCACTCATTTCTGGCTGACCCAAGTTTCCACGCTCAGCTGCAGCCACACACTATCATGAGGTTTCACCTCTTTACTTAACCAGATACGAAGGCAAAATGCTTCATTCCCATGGAATACACACCAGCCTATTAGAGAGCTCTTTATCGTGCATCAATTATTCCCTAGCACAGAAAAAGACAGAAAGCTGGCCAGAAATAAAAATGACTGTGTCTGTCTGTATGTTCTACGTTAAAGACACCGGCATTCCCCCCATTTTTACCAGATTACATTGTCCCAGAAAAGAGCTTTAAACATTTAGTATTATCAGTTATGTTGGATGATCTATAGAACCAGAATCAGACCAGAGCATACAAAATCACACATCTACACTAATGAAGAATTCAACAGATCACAAAAAGGCCTGGATAATCAGTTACCAAATCATGCTTTAATTTCATTCTTAATGAGACAAATCTTTCTACAGATGAACTTTTTTTTTTTTTCCCCCCCCAATAAATTCAATTTCTACTGCCAGACTTTCAAATCGCAGACCCAGATTAGCTGCCAGGACCATAACTCTGCAATTGCACTCTGTGACATCTACCGGGATTCCAGCATTGAAACATCGTTCATTGTCTTTCCTGAGAACCTACTGAAAATAGAAACAAAAGTGGAGAACATGCATAGGCTATCATCGCTACATTTGCAAAACACTTTCAAGTGCTTTAAATTCTATTGGTGTTTTATGCAAACCACAACCTACATTTCCAGTATTTTGTAAGCTGTGATGGTTGCATTGAGGATATACTTAATCTGATGAAAATCGGTTTGACAGATGTTGTTTTGAAGATGCAGCATTCCTTTGTCTAGGTGTCAGTAAACAAGAAAGAAAAAGAAATACTACTTTCTGACCAAAAATGATTTTGTTTATAACTATATGTGCTTTATAGCTATTTAATGCACATGTTTAAAGTTAAATAATAGCCACAGACGATAGCGTGCGAGGAATACAACGACATGTTTGCCAAGACTGCCTTAGTGCGTGTCAATACTTTCTGAGCAAATCCTTATTTTATTTTAACATATGGAGAAAATGAACACATCTGTTAAGATCTGAGTGTTCAAAGAACTTACCCTGATTTTACAGGTGCAATGCTGCTAAGAACTGCACCTGTTTAACATCAAGCTCTCTGGTGGATTCATTTATCCTTGTCGTATTAAAATAAAATAAAGATTTCTATTATTTCATAATACTTAGCTTAAATAAGATTTTTATCTGACATTGCAAGTAAACCACAAAAGAAGATGGAATACTTGAAAGATCATTAACTAGATGAAATGAGGCATTAATAATACTACAATCTTATGTATTCACCTTAGCAAGAATGGCTGAACTTAATCTGAGAGACATACCGTGAAGACAAACTCAGTGACATTGGAATTACTGTGAAATCTCCTACAGGGCATAGAACATATACAGGGCAGGTAAGGTATTTATCCAACTCCATTTAAAATATAGAAGTGGAATAAATTAGTTTTCTTCAGTTAAGAATTTTATAGTGACTCTGTCTACATCTGAAGGGGGCACACACGTGCGGAGGCCGTGCATGCACACCCGTATGGGCTACACAGATTCACAGCTGGTTCAGAGCGATCCCACGCACAGGAAAGAGAACACTGCATCCCTGGGGGGAATGCCTCCAGCCACTCTCCTCTTTGAAGCATCTGAATTGCCTCCTTACCGCACCATCACCTGATGGGACTGATCTGGATCTGATGCCGGCTTCCAGTGGCAAGCTGAAGGGCAGATACCACACAGAGGAAGGACTACGAGCTCAATCCCAAACAAGAACCTACGTTTAGAGTTGACAAACCAGGAAAAAGAACTATGTATATGGATCACTGCTTTCTACATGAACTATAAAAGCTCCTGAAATGGGAAATGGATCTTACTGCAACCAGCCAGCGTAGAAGACTAGTGCTCCATGTTCATTGGTCATCAGAAGAATCAAACCAACATGCTAAGACAAAGTACGAGAAAGACCAATGGTAAAAACAGTACCTAATTTAAAATATTATATTCAGTCCAGGAACAGCAAAAAATAGAGAAAATAAAATAACGAAAATAAAGAAAAAATAGCTGGGAGAACATGAAGAACCTTCTATATGAGGAAAAAGCTAAGAACTATTT